TATCATTTCACAGTAGACACACATTCTCCCCATGTACATACACAATGAATAGATGAGGGCATCCCTTGCCTATCTATAGGAAATCAAACTCATTTTCACAAAAGAAGTCCTGATGAGGGTCACCATTTTAGTCATTCCTGATAATATAATTATGTCATCAGTTTGAAGAAGAGATTTGTCAGAGCTTGAGGCAAAACAAAACTCCAAGCAGAGGGAGGCAGCTCCAGAAATAGCTCTTTAATTGTGCTTGTCGCCATTGACGATCAAGACCTCAGACCCAGCATGTTCTGCTTACACGGCATTTGATAGTTGCTAAATATGGCAATGTCACAGAGTCTGAGCTCATCACTAACTCATTCATCCCCACTCTTCAACCTGCTCTGCCTGAGTGTCAAGGCCATGTGAGCCCTGCTTAGAAATGCGTCCTTCCAACATGAGTGCCTCAACCTTCAAGTCTTTTGGTAACCATGCAGAAGGAAACTGTATTATACTGCCAGTGTGCAAGTACAGAACAATGTCCAGAGAAACAAACTCGTTAATAAGTTTCTTATTGGTGGGGAGGAGGTTTGCAATGTAAAGTGATGAACTAGAGACTTTAGTTTTTGCCTCTCCTCACAAGTCCTTCCCCTAATCTTGAAATGCATCCCTTCCACATGACGTTCTCTGTAAGCTTCTCCTCTTCTAGTGTTTTAAAAAGGTAGTTCAGGTGCTGACCCCAGGAGTTGAGATCCAGAGGACTTTCAAGAAGAGGACAAGGCAGTAACCACTAAAGGACAAAGAGCCACCCAGCTGGGGGGCTCCTGTTCTCTGTTTCCCATAAAAGTCTTTTGCATTCTGAGCCTTCAAAGATGGATACCTTGAGACACAGGCATCCTTCATTTTCTGCAGGACCAGCCTTGAATAAACTGCTTCCTTCCACCAACTCCTGTCCCCTGATTTTCCAGAGAGCAGCAAACCACACGGACCTCAGATTCCAGTAGCATTTTCTTCATCCAAAGACTTTGCTGACTTGCAATGGTGGAAATACAGAGTGGCAGGGATATCAGAGTCACCTCTCATCACCTCCAGCTGGGTGGATAAACCCCTTTCTTTCTCCTAGCAGGGTATTCCTGCCTCTTTTTGTCCTCCATAGTCACAGGAGAATGAATTACTGACACAGCCTGAGTGCATGCTGTCCCATCCTAGTTTCAAACCCTCTTGAGCTCATATATGTCCTCCCTACCAACTGGCTCTCACCTTGCTCTCAAGAGCCACACAAAGTCAATCTTCCTTATAACGATTCTTTAAATATGGAAGAGAGCACTGTGCTTTCCTCCTCTGCTCTTTTTCCTGCATTAAACCTTTGTACCTCCTTGAACCCTGTCTAGCAGTGTTTGAAGCATTGGTGTCTGGAACTCGTTTCTGAAGAGAAGCTTCCATTGGTCAGTCTTTAGCCTAAAGCTGGCCTGCCATGAACAGGAGCTTCAGGTGTGGCCCTCCATCTCCTCAAGACAGACCCAACAAATCGCTCCATACAAGCAGCAACTTTTTAGCCTCCTTCCTGGAAGCCAGAATCATCCAGAACATACATAGTATGATTTGGATTGAAAATTCATCTCACACTGGGGAAGGAAATCAAAGTATAACCCATGTGGTGACTGCCTCAGATGGAGTCTGGTGTGGGAAGAGGTTTGGAACAAGGCTGAGAAAAATCCCTACCTTCAAGTCAAACAACCTGATTGAAACATAAGAGCATGGTTTCGCTTTCTTTCAATAGTTGACGATCAGCCTAAGTATCATCAACAGATAAAGTAGATAAAGAAAATATGGTGTATGTAACACACACACACAATGGAGTATTATTCAGCCATAAGACAGAATGAAATCATATGGTTTGCAGGAAAATGCATTGAACCGGAGATCATCCTGTCCAGCAAAACAAGCCAAGTGAGTTTTAATGTGGTAACACTGTCACTTTGTGTGCCATCACAGATTTTGCTCTTAATGCTTCTGCTCACTTATTTCATTCACTTGGACTGCTTCTACCTCATTGGTATATGGTGGGTTCCCAGATCATCACCTTAAACTCAACCTTCTTCTCCACTGGCAACCTTGCGTTTTCCACCTGCCTTTAGCACTGAGCAGTGCAGATGATTAAGACACTCACAGATCAACTGTGTATCTCCAAAAGGATCAAGTGAATTCCTACAGACTAGGAGCAGAGAGAAGCTAAGCATCCCTTGGGTTCAGAGTGTGTCTGAGCAATGGGGAGGAGGTGGGGGTCAGGGTTTGTGTCTTGGTCTGGCTTGAGAGAGAGAATTTGTGCATCTGGGAGAAAACCTATAATGAGCTGGTCTTCACAGTCACTAACCTAGACTTGAAGAAAGAACTTTACTAGCAATAAAGAGTAAAGGCTTTCCTCTTAGAAGAAAGCTGGACAAAGCAAAATCCATTCATCTGAAACTGCATTCCCACAGGAAATGTTACTCGAGGCTTTGTTTCTGGTACTCTTGCTTACTGACATTCCCTGTGGCTGTACTTTTCCTTGGCAGATTAGAGTACAAGTGTACAAAGCTCATTTAAGCCAAAACACTATAGAACAGCTGGTAGTCCTGATAAAACTGGACACTTGACCCTGAAAAATCAATGTGAAAGAAATCAAAGAGCTTTGTCAATGTCAGGCCTCAAGTTTGAATTGCAGTTGGCTGCTAGTAATGGAGAAGTGGTTAACACAGCCAAGAAGTTTAATCTCATGCATAAACAAAGTCCACAGATGTTCTACTAATCTGAAGCCAGTGTAGAGACCATCCCTCCTGTGTCCCTGACCTTGCCTTCCATTTCCAAAGAGTTCCAGCCAACATGTTTTCATTCCACTCAGAAAGTATGCAGCAAGGGAAAGGAAAAAAACTTTCTGGAAAGCTTTTCTGAGGAGACCCGTCCAGCAATTTCCACTTGGAACTCATTGATTAAAATTTAGTAACATGACATACTCAGGTATGTGGACCACCACGATCTTGAGCAGAGCAGAACACCTAAGGAAGAAAAGGAGTATGAGTGTTGAGGAGATAACAAGTAGTGTCTGCTACAAAGGAGAGGCCAGTGGAACTAGAAAAGACGGAAGGTTAGATAAAAAGAGAGAGAGCCAAGAGCTGTCTGGATGCTGAGTCTACCTTTCTTCCCTCGTCTGGGGTTCTCCAGAGTCTGGAGGAGGAGGCAATTCAGTCTGATGGCCAGGGCTTTGGGAACTAACTTTTGAGAGCTGTCACTCTCCGTGGGACAAAAGGCATCAGGTTTTTCAGCTCATTTGTGAGAGCCAAATGTTTCTGTAACCTAAGAAAGACAGTGAACAGTTTAACTTCTGTGTCACTGTGATAATGTGAGAGAATAGGAAACATGTATTTGGTCTTCATCTCTGGCTCCCGACACAGCTCTTAAAGTCCTGGTGTTTCCTGACTTATAGGATTATCTTTTCTAATGCACAGTGAGCCTCTCCACCAAGCCCCAGTTTATGCTAGTGAGGCAACTTTTGGAGAATGAGGGCTGGTTGTGAGGTATCAACCATGCAATCACATGCTCAGAACTTTCAGCCCCATCCTCCCAGCACCTCATCAGGAAGGAGAGAGGGACAAGCTGAGTTAATCACCAATCATGCCTATGCAATGGAGCCTCCTAGAAATCCTAAACAATGAGTTTTGGAGACATTCTGTGTTGAGGAGTTCATGGAGGTGTTCACGGGAGAGCTACCCTCCCCCCACCACACACACACTCCCCTCACCCTATGCATGACTTCCATTCGGCTAAATTTTATCCTTTGTGATAAACTGTAACAGTGAGTAAAGTGATTTCCTAAATTCTGTGAGTAGTTGGTACAAACTATTAAACCCAAAGAGGGAGTCATTGAAACCTCTGGTTTACACCCAGTTGGTCAAGGTACAGGTCACAATCTGAGGCTCATATCTGGTGTTTGAAGTGGAAAGCAGTCTTGTGGGACTGAGTCTTTATTTTAACCTGTGGGGTCAGTCCTCACCCCAGCTAGTTAGCATCATAATTGAATTTGTAGGACATGCAGATGGTGTGGAGAGCTGGAAAAATGCTTTGTATGAACAAAACCACACACATATGATATCAGAAGTGTTGAGAGAAGGAGCAGTGTTTTCCTTTCTACTTGTACAGATATTTGAAAATGGAAGCTCTGCCCTTCTGAAGCATAATTTAATTCTACTGTGTAAGGTACTTAGCGGCAAGTTGATGTGTAGAAAACAACTGCGCTGTGCTCCACATTTAGCCTTCTTGTTACTGTTGGGAGATCTTTTAATCCAGTAGTGTCTATTTATAGGAAATTTCCAAGCCATTTTAGAGGTCACAGGAGATATTTACCCACTGTTTGTATACTTCAAGTGACAGTGGAAAATGTATTGTCTTACAAATGTCATTCATAAAACGAAATGGGCTTGGCCGTGACCTGTTGATAGTGCTCAGAATTCCAGAGGTTTGACAAGACATGTGTCAAGGACAAGTTTAATGCCCAGTGACCAATATGACCTTAGTCTAGCCTTAAATACTAAACGAGGTCCAATCCCGATCTCAGAGCTGAACCTTAATCAATCCATTCTTTTAATGAAGAAATGAACCCTATCTGTGACAATCTCAAATTATGGTCTTTTTTTTATTATTCTGCTTTATTTTTTGGTTCTGGGGATGGAACTCAGGGTCTCACGCGTGCTAAGCTCGTGTTCTGCCACTGAGCTGCAACCCCAGCGGGCAGTGTTGAGTACCGACATCTGTTTGCTAAAATAAGCCTGAATTCTTCGGTAAAAATGGAAGTGATTTCTGTAGGTCCTTCAAAAACACCTACCCATTCTGTGCCTGTGTCTGAGTGTGAGAGACTATGTTGGCATTTACTCGACCTGAGTGTTGCCTTCATATGAGAATCCAGATACGTGTGTGAGTGTAGTTCTTAGGGTGTGCATATTGTAATCCTCACTGAATTTCACTACCTGTTGCGTTCCTTTTCAACCCAGATCTAACTGGCTCAAAAGCCCAGACACTGATTCTGACCGGCTCTTCTGCATGGTGGCAGAGGTCTTCATCCTGTGGTGTAAATCTCACGTAAGAACACATTTGGATTTAGAATACTTGCCAAAGGTACAGACCTTGAAAGGTCTCTTGTGATGTTTGCTTTTTTATTTCTCCTTGTTTAGAACTTCAAGAGGGAAGAGCAAAATTTTGTGATTCAGAATGAAATTAATAATTTGGCATTTTTAACTGGAGACAGCAAAAGCAAGATGTCAAAAGTAAGTCCTTAAAAGTCAATTCCAAAGACCCTTCAACCTGGCCCCCAGCCATGACTTGGCTCCATTTCATGTTTTGTGGACCTTAACACTTTACTTCATTTAGGTCAAACCATGCAGCCAGCATCCCTACTGTTGTGTCTTTGAGAATGAGCAGAAGAAACAGCTCTCAAATAAGCATGGTCATCACATTTTATAAATAAATAGCTGCTTGTGTGTCAGAAAGTTTTAAGTTTCAAGACTTGCCTAAGGCATTTGAGATGTCTCCAGAGCAGAAGCTGCTGTTAGTGGTTTTAAAATAGAACACTTCCTGTGAAAAGAGGCTAGGAAGAAATCGCCTTGCTGAGGTGATTTCAGTAGCACCTGCTCTCCATCCTGTCATCTTTCCTCCTGTCTGATTTCAGGTGTGTGGACCTCTGAATGCCTTGTGTGTGTTTCCCATAACAGTCACACTTAGAACACCAAACATTTATCCATATCTGCAGGAAATGTTTGACATATGGCATACTAGACGTGTGTCTGCAGAGAAAAAAGAATAACCTGTAGGGAGGAATGTGGCTGGGACACAGGAAGGGAAATTGCCTTCCCAGCTGCTCTGAGTCAGCTCTGCATGAGGCTTCTTTATTGCCACTGGCCAGAATTCTCAGCCACACTCCTTCAGGGGTGCATACAAAAGCAGGGCCTCCTTAAATGTGATGTCTTGGTACCAGCTGTCGTGGCTTACTCTTGACTCTGTGAGAGCTGGCTGTGTATGTCATGTACAAGTGGCCTGTAGCCCTGAGATGTATGTCCCTCTCATTGCTGGAGCAGTGCCACCTCTGAGAAGCATGAAGGTGGAGTGTGCATGGGGACCCCTCAGAAGTGAAAGTCAGTTTTGGAAGGGTGAGAATTGTAGGTTTGTGGCAAAGACCTTGAACATCTTTTCAATAACTATTTGGGATGGAGCTGCAGGCAAGAGCTATGACACCAAAATGAAAGCTTGGGCCCCTGGAGCTCCACCAGGCATGGAGGTAGCCCTGGCCAGCTCCTACCACACTGAACTCACTCTCTTCTATCTCTTAGCTGTGTCTTTCCATCACCCAAAAGTTGACTGTTAGATTAGAATCTGCTCTGAAGTACACTTTTAACATGTACACTGCTTAGTAAAGTTTGACAGTATTGTACACCTACAAAGCAGAGGGATCACATTCACGAGGAATCTGCTGCAAAGGACCCTCAGGGTGGATCCTTCTGAGCTTTAGATAATTTTACTTGCTTTCCCCAAATCTGCCTCTTGGTAAACACGTCTGTGGAGGAAAGCGGAGGGCCTTCCTCTGCCATCACTGTTAAGGCTCTCTGTTAAGAAACTCAGTAAGTCCCAGGAGGATTCCACACTGTCTTCAATGTAAGGTGGATCCACTAGCTCAGGTGGATTCCACACTGTCTTCAATGTAAGGTGGATCCACTAGCTCAGGTGGATTCCACACTGTCTTCAATGTAAGGTGGATCCACTAGCTCAGGACTAAACCAGCCAGCATCCATTTCGAGTAGCAGAGATGGTAGCAGAGCAATGGAAATGACTCTTGACAGGAGGATTTGGACCCCAGATGAGCAGAAATGACAGACATCTCAGCCCTCTGTGATGAATGGGTTTGCATTTAGGAAGAGATGAGGTGACAGAAAATGGTATTTCAAAACCCACCTACTAACAAACTAACCTGCCATTTTATACATTCAAATTACTGAATGAGGAAGAGGGGAACTAGTTTTGGTGAGATGGTTGTATTGGGAAGGTTGGTCTTCGGGGGTAACTCATTCCATTTGCATTGGCAGTTATTTCTGAGCCATGTAGGATAGAGCCAAAGTTACAGTGACATCGAACGACAGGCATTCCATCCAGAGATAGTAAGCAATATTGCCATAGCCTTCAGGTAACAAGTATTCATGTTGTTTCTGTTCTCTCAGTTAAGGCACAGAATATAACAGTAAATGAACTTAAAATTGAAAGGAAGCTAAGTCCTTCCCTTGGCCCAGCTGTTGACAGCCATGGCCTCATGCTGTTCACTTATTCCTCTGGGTCCAATTTGTTCATCTGCGTGATGAAGTTGAGCTTACTGCCTGACTTTCCCCAGCTCTGCTAAGACGGTCTGGTTAAGTCAGTTTTCAAAAGTATAGCTAGGACAGAATAGCATTTAATAAATGCTTTATTTAAAATAGTGAGATATCTTGACCCCAGTAAACAGCAGCTGTAAGCCTTTTCTGGTAGGTTCAGGATGTAGAACTACATATTGGGGGCCAGGAAGGGGATATTCTTCCTTACCCTCAGCTAAAATCCGGTAGTCTTTGCTTCCTTGCAGTTAGATTTTCTCTCTACTACCTGATCTGAATTGGCACCTGTCACCTTTGCTTGTTTTTATCTCCACTTCTAATTGAATTCTGGTGTTGTATAAATGGAAACATCCTCAGGGCCTATGGTGGTCCTGGTTGAGGTGGTGTATGTGAACGCTGCATGCCACAGCACCAACTATGCCATTTGCAAATGAAGGGAGTGGAAACAACACTGGGGCTGTCTGCCCCACTTGATTAATTGAAGGACAGTTCAAAGATATTTTGTTTTTCTGGCAGCTAATACAGATTGCGTTTTAAAAGTCCATTGCATATTTGTTTATATAACACCAGTTTGCAAATATATGTTAAGCTAAATGTAACTAAGCTGAACAAGTGTTTTGTTTTGTTTTTAAACTTGCTTTTTTTTCTGGAAAAAAATGACAGCAGCTTCCTGGGAGGAAGTTAGAACATGTTTAGTGCAGGCGGTGCCAGTTCTGAGACCAAGGCTGCAGACAATAAAATAAGAGTTGTGGTTCGGTGCCTGGTGGCTTAAAGCTGCTCCAGCCTGTGGGGTGGGTTGAAAAGTGATGGGAATTGTTGTGAAGGATATCTTTGTATTTTCAAAGGCAACCAGAGGTATATGTCAGTTTTCTTCTTGCTCTAATCTGCCCTCCTATGGTCTTCTCTCACTCCACCTCTTTTATTTTTACTTCTTTGTTCTTATGCTTATGTATTGTGCTCACAGTCTTCTCTCTCTTCTCCCCCACCCTTGCTTCCTCTTCATTCACACCACCCCCCCATCCCTTCTCTCATTACCACCCCTCTATCTCTCTGGTTGACTTTCCTTCACTCCACTTACACTCTCAGTAGGGTAGGAACCTCCCATGGTGAAGGTTTGCCTTTGATCAAAGCCTGATGCAAACTCTCCCTATGCTATCTTGGAGCAGTACACTACCAGGTGGTGTGTCTCCATCAATCTCCCTTATCCCTGAAAAGTCTGGTTTTTCCCTAAGGTGTGCACATAAAGTCATTTGTTTGCTCATAAACTACTCCTGATAGTTTATGATCTAAATGTGGGGAATGAAATTATTGTAAAGATCTATGAATTGGGATTAAGGAATTGCAGCTAATTTTAGCAATATTTGTAGCAAAGAATGAAAGTGGAACCTGCAGGGTGTAGGAGCCTTTGACCTGAGGTATGTTTACAGGTGATGGTGTAAGAAGGAAGATTTTCCATCCTTTGGGTTGCGGGTAATCTCAAATCACTTTGGAGATTCCGACATGTTTTTTTTTTTTAAGCAAACCCTTTACCAGAAGCATAAGCTCAGCTCTCTCTCTCTTTGTATAACCACAGATCTGCTAGAGTTAATTATGTGGAAGGAAGAAAAATTGAGGCCTTGGGTTATATGACAGATTGTAGCTCACCTGGTAAAGAGAGAGAAGGGGGAAGACTTTAGATCTGAAGAGTTCCTGTGGGGGCCATATCTGAAAACCACAGTGGGTTGAGTCTGAGTAGCATGCCTGGGAAGACTGATCTCTGATTGATCCGGGGCAGATTGTTTGGTCTGGGTCTTATCTTTATGGCCACATTCACCATATCTGACTTACCGCTTGCTCTTCATGCTGTGCACACATAACTCCCACAAGAGCTGAGTTTCTGTAACGTTGGCTGAGATAGTGGGACTAAGACGCTGCAAATAACCTGTGGCTGCTGCCTTGGACCCCTGCTTTTACTGACTGACTTTCTTGTTTCTTCCCTTTTGTTTTTCCATGCAGGCCATGCAAGTGAAGGTACAGGTCAAATGCATGATGTGTCTTTTCTGTCTTAGTGTTAGAGGTGCTGGGCTCTGGGCCCCTCTGCACCGTGATCACCATGGGGTGGTATAGAATGGATTTTTCCCACTGGGAGGTCCCCAGGCCTGCTCCAGGGAAAACACCTGCCTGTCAAAGAGTGGATATAGGCCTACCTACCCTCAAAATGGGAAAGCCAGCCAAGTCTCGCCCTAACCGAGGTCTCTTTGCTGTTTCTTCTCCCTTCCCCAGTGGTCCACTCTGTCAGTCTGGAAGTCACCACACTAGCAGAAATAGGGGCGACAATGGGCTTGTGAGCCTGAGAGCCTGACTTTCCTATGGTGCCAACCAGGACCTGTGTCCTGTTTGCTGTTGGTGGCTGTATTCTGCCTCTGTTCAAGGCTCCCATGATTCTGAGACAGTCTTCTGAGAACTGAACTCAAGGGTCTGAAGCCAGCAGATAACCATGAATTTTTGTACAGAACATACATATGGTGGCATAAACCCTGGGATGGTTCTCAAGTTGCCCCAAAGGTTGTTATGTGGAAATCCTTCTGTTTTTGTTCATTAATGAGTATCTGCTATTGCTGCTGTCCCAAGCCCTCTGCCATAATGTATGTGGTAAAGAAAGAGAAATGTGTAAGAACCAGGGCACAGCAGCTATCACAGAGAGCCAGGTGCAGTGGTGCACTTCTATAATCCCAGCTACACAGGAAGCAGATAAGGTTAGGGTTATTTGAAAAACAAAACTAAAAACAAAAGCACTGGGGGCGTGGCTCAAGTGGTGGAGTGCTTGCCTAGGCCCTGAATTCAAACTCATATGTAGCAAAATTTAAAAGGGAGCCTGCAAAATGGACCTGTATCTGGATGGTGGCTGAGCTACTTACTTGCTGTGTGAGCTTGGAAAAATTACCCAGCATTATGCTTTCATTTATAAAACTGACTTCTTAATATTTCAGAGTTTCTGGGAAGATTAGAAACATTTCATTTAAGCATGAGGTGCATTGAAGTCATAGCATACATGTAGCAATTATGATTAGAATATGAGGCCAGTAAAATCAAATAGAGAATGAGGAGGACACAAACTACGTAATCAAACCCACATAGCTGCCTCCTTATAGTTTTTACTCAGTGGTGCAACTGTGTGTCACCATTTCCATCTTATACTGACACGTCATGACGCCATGGCTTATTTACACACGGCTAGATTCTGACTATAATGGATGATTTAAAGCATTTTGGAAGGCAATAGACTATAAACAAGCCTTGCCCTTAGACATACCTGGTGGTGGAACGTGTTGGAACCCAGCCAGTGCTCAGTGACATTAGGACACACAGTTCTGCATAAACCAGTTTTCCCTTCCATGTTCCTGTTTCTCACTGCCTGCCCACTGCTGTCTTGGGGCTGCCCTGAGGTTTTGGAGTACTGGGCCCAGTGCCATGCAACCGTGAGGACTGTCTGGCAGTGTTTGGCCAGACCTGGCTTTGGGGACCAGAAGCTTGGCTGTGGGTTGTGAAATACAACCACCTGAAGGTGATGATGCACAGCCCTGAAGGGAGAAATCTCATCCCAAGAGTCATTAACCATTCACCCTCAGGAAAGCCATTAAAGCCATCAGTCCTGAGGAGGTATTAATTCTGACTGTCCTGAACAGAAAGCCCGTCACTCTGCCCCAGCCCAGGAGGCCCACTTCCGGAGAGACAGATGGCCTCCTTATGTGTCATTTAAGCCTCAGTGCGTGCTGCAGAGGCACCCCCACAGAGCAAAGCTTGGTGAGTGCCAAGTAGTTCCTAACTAGTTTCTGGCCACCCAGCCTCCTTCCCCACTTCCTGCAGGTACCACTCAGCTAAGGCAAAGTCCACAAGCAGGCCAGTGTCATGAAAACCGGTCTCTGCAGTGCCTGGAATCCTTGACCCCACCCAGTGGCCATGTGCTAAGTGTTCTCAGTTGGTTTCTGGGGCTGTGCTTCAGGTTCCCCTCTTAAACCTTCACTCAGTGAGCTCTGGAAGAGATGAGAGGGTGTGAGCAAAAGTCAGTTGCAAACCCCATGCACATGGGGAGTTCCTTTCTTTCCTGTCTGCTTTCTCCCATACCTTTGTCCCCACCACGTCCCAAAGCAGTCCTACTCTAGAATGTCCTCTTCCTGTGAGAATTTTCCATGCCTCTGGGAGACAACTAAATGGAATGCCAGTGCTCAAAAACACTCGCTCAGACCTGGACACCAGACGAGTTGCACCGTGACAGCTGTCCTTCTCATTGTACTGGTTCTCCAGCATCAGGGTGCTTGGTTCTCTCCTGGAGTCATTTGATCAGTCATCAAATCATTCCTCTTACAAAACATCAGGGTTGAAATTTTTGTTTGTTTATTTGGTGCAGAAGTGAGTGAGCCAAGACTGTGGGTGTCTGTCTAGTATGTCTAGCTACAAGGTTCTGTATGTGGAAGAGGAGGTGGTCTTGTGTGGCCACCTGGCTTGTCTGTGCTTCACATACTCCTTTCACTGTTTTCTGAGATGTGGTAAGGCCCAGCCTGCACTGACAGGGCCACGAGGGAGGGAGCGGCTTCTCTGAGACGAAGCAGGTCTTTTCAGAGTCCCCAAGCCTCTGTCTGTCTCTCAACATCATCTAGTCTGGAGGTCAGGATCAGGAGCGGAAGAAGACAAAGCGGAGGGGAGACTTGTATTCCATCCAGACATCACTCATCGTGGCTGCACTCAAGAAAATGCTCCCCATTGGTCTGAACATGTGCACTCCGGGCGACCAGGAGCTGATCTCACTCGCCAAGTCCCGATACAGCTACGTAAGCTGCCTGTGTGGTTGGTGAGCATGCGGTACAGGCAGTGGCAGTGCAGGGTCCTCAGTCTCCAAAGGTGGGGTGGGGGACTGGGGCCAATGAGCAGAAATCAAGGTGCCCAGAGGCTGAACACCCGCATTTTTAAAGCTGCTTTGGATATCAGCAACTTGGGCCAAGACTCCGTAATTTTTCTTCTTTTGTTCTTCTAATAAAGAAGCTAAATTTTGCATTGGCCATCCATGCATCACTGCACCCTAGGAATAACATTTAACGTCTTTCCACAGAGGGACACTGACGAAGAGGTCAAGGAGCACCTGCGGCACAACCTGCACCTGCAGGAAAAGGTGACACTGCAAGGGGCCACAGGACCCTGCTGCCTCCTAGCTGCAGGGCTCCACACCCATGTGTCTTGCTCAGTTTTGTTTGTTTGTTGTTGCTTGAGACAGGAGCTCATTACATAGGTGAGGCTAGGCTTGAGCTCATGATCCTGTCTCAGTCTCCCAAGTGCTGGGATTACAGGTGCGCACTACCACACCAGGCTCATGTTTTAAGATGTGTTCAAAAACAGTGTTTAACTGGTAGGACTAGCTCTGTTTTTAATTTTTGTTCTTTTCTTTGCTGTTGCAAAGAGGCATCTGATCAAATATGTCTTCCCACTTCCTGCTAAGTGAGAGAGGCGAGCACAGCAGAGAGGCTTTGCAGTAGGTCTCAGAATTCCAGAATTCATCGACCATGAGGCTCATTAAACAGTGAAATGGACACCTAGGGGAAGTCTCTAGCAAACCTAGAGATTTGAAACAAAATAATATCAAGTCAAAAAAAGAGGGAATTTCCGTTTTACAGGCAATTTGAATCCCAGCTCTATGAATTTGAACAGCTGTTTCCTCAGAAACATCGTGCCCTTAGCCGGAGAGCCAAGTGCACACACACACACGGTGTCCATTCCACCCCAAACATGCAGGAATGGTGGGTAAAATCATCTTTTTTAAAACACAGTGAAAAAGTCCCAAGTAAACAGAAAAAAAGATGTGCTTTCAATCTCAGTAATAAGGAGAAGCCACTGCTGATTGAAGAACTCATAAAGGAGTCCAGGCCAGATAACTATCCTGTGTGTTGGGGTTTTTAATAACCTTAAAGGAAGAGGAGTGTGGGCCCTAAATGCCCAACCCCTGCACAAATGCAGAGTGGGAAGCACATAAAATTAGTCTGGAACCAGGGAACCCATGAACCTCCTGCAGAGACAACCACAAAGCACCTGAAGAGTTCTACTTTCTACAACACAGGATGGAATGCCAACAAATAAAATTCCTCCTGAAAACAAACTCACATAAAAAGTTCCAAAGCATGTAAGGAAATCCACCACCATGAGAGTCAGAAATGCAGCAAAGGATAACTCAAGCAGTAAGGAATTTAAACATAAATATAGTTATAACACTTACAGAAAGGAAGAAATAGAATCAATAAAGCAATAACTAGACATTATTTCTGAGAAAGAAGAGGAGGAGGTGGGTTTGTAAAAAGATCTCATAGTAATTATAAAACTAAATAGTCACTGGAATTTATAACCCAGTTTATAGAATGAAAACAAGCTAGGTGCAGCTGAAAAGAGAATTTATAAAATTTATAGATTGCTTTAAGAAAATTATCCAAAATGTAGCACAGAGAAACAATGGAGGGAAAATAAGACAGAACAGTTAGGAGATGTGAAGGCTGTAGTGAGAAGTCTTAACAGCTTCTGCAGCCTTGAAGAAGACAGACAAGATGAGAGACAAGAGAGTCCTCACTGCTACAGAACTCTGGAGGAGGAAATTGCTTATCTCCTGGGCATGCTTCAATTTTCAGTCTGATGACCCAGCGGTAAAATGGCAACTGAACCTCTACAAGGATGTTCTGAGGAATGAAGAGCCTTCAAATCCAGAGAAGACAGTGGAGCGTGTGCAGAGAATTTCAGCAGCTGTCTTCCACCTGGAGCAGGTAAGGACTATCTGCTCTGAAGAGTGTGGACAACACAGCTCTCCGCCACAAATAGCTGTCAGGTATGGGTACCCTTGTGTGACCAGGAAAGCGAGGAGCAGGGATTGTCACCCCCAAGGACCACCGTGGTGCCTCACAGTAGCAGGACCCCTCTTTGCTTTCTCTTCCCAATCTTTTGCAAACTCTTGCCATTAGCTCAAATGACTTAAATCCCCTACCATTTGTAAAGCTGCTGTTGAATGATAAATGGCTAACAGCATTTGAGAAAAAGAAGAAAACCTAACTTCACAAACAGAATCACATGGTGCTGGTGGGTACATTTTGCAAACTACAGTTGAGAAGGAGAAGTTATTCAATAGCTAAGTCATCTGGGCTACAGGTGGCCATCTTCTACCTGATGTGATTTCTTCTCAGGTGGAGCAGCCTTTGAGATCCAAGAAGGCTGTCTGGCACAAACTGCTGTCCAAGCAACGGAAGCGGGCAGTGGTGGCCTGTTTCAGGATGGCTCCTCTCTACAACCTGCCCAGGTATGCATCCAACCATTTCTTCTGCCATGCGAGCCAGCAGTGGGAGTCAAGGTATTTCCCCACAGCTGTGCTCTTATGCACCTGACACTCTTGATCCAAAGAATAGAAACTAGAATCCCTGGTCCTGGGGCCGTTGCAGACTGCATGGTATATGGCCTGGTGAGCAAGCAAGGTAAGCCTAAAAACTGAAGCCAGGTGAGCTCCCCTAGTGCCTCAGGCCTGCTAAGTTTGCCAGTGTGCACTGATCAGTTGAATAAGTAAGCGTGTGAAGGCCTTTACTTTTGCTGACTTGGGATTCTCTGTGAAGGTGTATAGGCTTCTGGAAAAGGGGACTATTTTCTAAAATATATCGCCCCAAATTCCAGCAAATGTTTAGCAATATTTCTCTGTTTAGACATTTAACACAAAACTTACTATTTCTTCAGCACTCACTCATGTGAGAACCATTTAACACAGCAGATTCACCATCAAGATGAAGAAAGGCTAGAGGTGCCCAAACAGACAAGTCAGGGGCATGATGTGTTTATCTGGTGTTAGAAGTGAAAATAAATGGTGTTTCTGGAAGGTGTCTATCCTGTGTCAACATAGGGAAGGGCATCTGTGTTAGTCAGTTTTCTATCACTGTGACAAAATACCCTAGATAAATCAACTTAAAAGGAAGAGAGATTTATTTTGGTCAGTAGTTTCAGTCCATGGTCCCTGAGCCCATCTCTTTGGGACTGTGGTGAGGCAGAACACCATGGCAGGGCATGGTAGAGAGCAAAATTGCTAACTTCATGACTGATAGGAAGCAAAGGAAGAGAAAAGGGGTGGCCAAGGTCACAATATCCCTGTCAGGGCACGCCCCAGTGACCTAAGCCCGTTTTTCCCTAGGCCTCACCTCATAAAGGTTCCACCACCTCCCAATAGCACCACTGGCTGGTGACACATTGCCTTTGGAGGGACATGTGAGATCCTAGTCATAACAGTAACAGTGACAGACTGGGCCAGAATTGACCACTGGGACTAACTTAGTATGTTTATTCATACGGTAACATCCTCATCCTCATCCTCAGACTGACTGTGGAGTCAATCAGGTCAGACCTGTGATCAATACCAACCTCCGCTTCATTCGCTTCCAAATCACTGGCATGTCCTCACTGGGTCAGAGAACACAGTTGACTTGGAAAAGCATGTTCTGAATCCCTTGTAAACAGGTGTGCTTCCTCGGATGTTGATATTTGCTTTCATCAAATTGTGGATCTTGGCTGTCATTCATCCAGAGTGTCCTGTTAGCTGCCCAGAGCCAACTGAGCTCTGGTCTTGCAAGATGTCAGACACTTGTGACTCTGAGACACTCCTGCTCCAGCAGGCCTCTCAAGAAAACTGATTCCTGTTTGGGGAAAGGAATGAGGTATCATTAAATCGAGTAGAACTGATGACTAAAAAGCTGAAAACATAAACATTTGTGGGCCCACAGGATGCTAAAGTCCTGGCAGAAAAATAACATCCATAGCCTAGTAAAAAATGCAAAACCTCATAGGATTTTGGTTTGTTTTCTGGAAGTAATGAAACATTAGAAAGCATTCAATTTCCCCACTGGTGGGGATGGGACCTGCAGAGGAGCTCAGCTCTACCACATGTCTTCAGGGCAAGCCAGCTAGGCAGAAAGCACAGTTCTCAAAAACAAGTGCTTTCGGCTGCTCCTTTAGCAGTTCGACCCTTTATGGTGAGAACAGGTCCACAAATTTGCCCTACCCTTGGGGAAACATGGCCATCTCCAAGCCAGGTGTTCTCAAAAGGCTGCCCTGGGTTTTCTCTGTCACATGGAGGACTGACAGTAAGTAGATTTCACAACAGCAACAGATAACTGAGACCCTGACTGTGGTAACAAATCCTGTCCTCCACCTTGTGACCACCTAAACTGCACACAATCTTCCAGACTAAAGAGGTTGATTTTATTATGTGAAACTGTTTCTGTGGTGTTAGTTTTTAAGAGAAAACCTGTATGCTTTTCTCCAGACACAAAATTAACAATTTCTTCCTGAGCACCTTTCAACGGGTTTGGCTGGAAAAGGTTAATGAGCAAACTCAGTATGACAGGCTTATACCCACTCTGATGGTAATGCTCTGCACACTCCTCCTCCCTCGACCAAGACTGAATGTTTCCACAAAAACACAAACTTGTACAATTTTTTAAAAGAACTCTGATTGGTCAGATTTTAAAGGAAGATGGCAGGCCACACTGTCCCCAAACCATAAGCAGAGCCTAATGAATGGTGTCCCCCTTTCCCTTCCGTCCCTCCTCCCACCTCACCTGCCTCTCACAGTTGGTAAACACTGAGCTACTCCTCAGAGGCTGATTTTCCCAGAAGTCAATCCTTGCTTTCCAGGAGTGGTTCGTGCCAGTGTCACGGCATCCCAGGCACAGGTCACAGCTAGGATTCCAGAGCACACAGGTGTAAGTGGTGTAGCAAGCCACATTTTGCCTTCCTCTATACAAGTTGGAGCACTTTGCTGAGGTCATTCCTTGGAGAAGGGAAAGAAGCCACACTTCGGTGTTTTGAGTATGTCTCAGACTAAGCCACTCACCAGACTGGATTAGCTGGACAAGTGATAGTTCTAAAGGAATGACCAAATTGCCATATGAAGCAAACACTTCAGGACTGTTGCCTGACCTATTGAGTTATTTTTCATGAGAGGAAAAGTGATAAAGACCCTGTGAGACCATTGTGAGGCTCAGCAGGTGCTCCAGTATTTGCACACCGCCTCAGTAGAGGGTTCTGATTTCTTTGGTACAAGAGCTCATGGTGGGCCACTGGTTACCCTGACCAATCAGAAGGTAAGAATTGTACAAAAGCCTCTCCTGCTTACTAACCACTAACCACCAGACTAAAATGAGTTCCACGGATGCCTCTTGACCTCATCTCACCCCTTCTGCTCAGGCACCGCTCTATTAACCTCTTCCTCCATGGCTACCAGAGATTCTGGATAGAAACAGAGGCGTATTCCTTTGAAGAGAGTCTAGTACAGGATTTGGCTGTAAGTACCAGCTCAAGTGGGAACAGATATGGGTGTGAATGAATTTGATTTTTGTGCTGTGTGTGTTGTAACAGTTAAGCACTCACAAAGAACTGAATGTACAAATCTGAGAGGAACTAACTGAATTCTCAGGGGAGGCCCTGCCAGTGATCACAAGAGCCGAGGGTGAATTTTCCCTTGGAGGTGGCAGCACCCTTCTCCCTCATCTTCATCACCTCTAACAACTAATATTTCCTGTGGTGCACAGCCGTCCCACAGGGGGTTCATGCTGCATGAAGTTTTGGGTACCTCTGGTGTGGGAGGCCACCCCACCCCAGCTGAGACCCACATTTCTAATGAGTAGCTGAGCTCCGGGAAGGAAGCGTCTAAGTACCCACCCACACCTCACATTTCTGCACTGACACCAGACGATGCCACGCTCTGCTGTGAACCCTAGAATGTGCAAGCATCTGCAGAGGCACGCGCTCTTTTCTCCTGTCACTTACTCTCTCCACCATGTTTCTCAGACTCTCTCTTTCCTTATCACCTGTGTCTTGTCCCCCTTCCCTCTTTCTTCCCCATTTCCCTTCCTTTTGGGTCATGTCCTCTCTTCCTCCCATACGTTCCCATTGGTGAGAAAGACACTTCCCTGGATCCCCCACTTTCTTGATTAGTGTGAGTCTGACAGTGAGCACCTACTTCCTCGGAACCACTCACACAACCTGTGTAGTTCTCCAAGTTGCCAGATATGGTTTGCCCTACTGACCACCACTGCTAGAACACTTACTTCTATCTCTGACACCGTGCTGTTTTCCTTTCTGTGAAAGAGGACAGAGAAGTGTGAGGTTTGCCATTCTGGAGAACAAGGGCAGTTATGGAGAGTATCCCTCCTGAACTCGGTGCCCAGGGCTTGCATGAGAGTTCTGATTGGGTCTGTAGCTCTTCCCCTATAGTCAGCCTTTTGCTTCTCCTTTTGTTTCATTCAGCCTAAAAGCGTAATGCTTCTTTGACTGGCCGGAAAAAGCATACATACGTACACACCCCACCCTTGCACCCTCGGGACTTCCGTCCTGAAGTGAGCAAGTGGGGTAGTGTTTTCCCTCTTATGCTTCCGGCCTGGTGCCTGCCATGCCTTGCTTCTCCCTCATGCTCACATGCATCTGTGTGACTCATGCTGAAATCCAAGCCTGAAACCTGTCTCTGTTGCTTTGTGTAGAAATCTCCCAAGGTGGAAGAAGAGGAGGAGGAAGAGACGGAAAAGCAACCTGACCCACTTCATCAGATCATTCTCCACTTTAGCCGCAATGCTCTCACAGAGAGGAGGTCAGCTCCACCAGGGCACCAGAGCTGGTGTGTCCCCCCAGCCCTTCCTCTTGCAGACAGCAGTGGGTGGAAGGGACGCCAGATTTGAGCTGCCTTAATTGTTGGCCATCAGAAAAATCTAGAGGAACTACATGAGGCCACAGTCCTCCCATCATGATCCCACACAGAACCTGAAGATTAAACAGCCTGAAGTTGAGATCCTACCCCTGACTCCTTAGCAAGCCAGTGCTAAGTCAGATTTCCAGAGTGGTTTCTAAGAATCAGAGTGAAGGAGGGAATTTTCTAATTAGTTCACTAGTATATACAACTTGAGATTAGTCTTTTCTGTGGGGCCAAAAAAGTAGTCTGCTAAATACTTCCCCCATTCTTTGCAGCAAATTGGAAGATGACCCTTTGTACACCTCATATTCCAGCATGATGGCCAAGGTACACCTGCTCTCCTGCATGTTGTCTCCGTCTGCTTTCTTACACCATTTCAGGCATGTGGAAACTGTCATGTGGACAGAACAACCAGGACTTGGTGACCAAGTCTAGGTTCCAGGCATTGTACAATTTAACTTCCACAAAGATGACATTGAAAACTACTCCACCACCCTCCTAAGGAAGCCAGGAAGCTTTGCAGGAGCCATTCCTGCTGGTGGCTGCATTCCTGTGACAGTTCTAAAGCAAGCCACACAGGGCTTAGGCATATCCATCTCTGCATTTTTGGGCAACATTCAGGATATGTCAGATAACTCAAACGTGTGTGAAGGAGAAGGAGTTAGGGTTAGAAACTAGAGGAGACCCCAGTGTTCTAGAAGAGACAGAGTGACCAGGGGAATGTCACCGAGAATTGTGGTGAACTCTGGGATGCACCAAAGGCCACATGGAAAAGAGTAGTTTAGGAGCCACAGCCCACGTGGCTCAGCATCACTGGCATAGCCCCGGTGCTGTGTCTAGAAAGAAACTGTCCCTGCATGCCTTGTCTCCCACCTACCCCAGAACTTTACTTACTAGGGAGGAGAGTTCAAGTCTGTGGTTAAACCCGATGAGTCCCCATTGATTATGTGAGCTCAGTGTTCCCATGTTGCCTTTCTTAACCTCTTGTTAACTGCAAAGACAGCATTTAAAGGAGAATGTTACCATACAGTGGTCAGAATGTTCTTGGTTTTACAGAGTGCCAAGGTCCCAAGGTGCCTGTGAATTACACCCTGTCCTGTCCTTACCAAGTAGAACAGAGTTGTGTTTGTTAGCAGATTCACCTTTGATTTAGTTGTCCATCTCCTCCTGGAATCCAGAGCTGTCAGAGTGGCGAGGAAGAAGAAGAGGAAGACAAGGAAAAAACATTTGAAGTAAGTTCTCACAAAGATTAAAAACAGTGCTGCCCTCCCAGGCCAATAGGCAACACCTTCTAAGATAGGTGCTGACAGCATGTGAGGCTTGCCTGCCATATGTAATGAGTGGCCAAGCTGTCTCAATAAAGCCCATCCACCAGCTTGTGTCTGCTGTCTGCCTGTGTAATCTAACAAAGTGCCAAGAAGCATGAAAACCAGCACTTCACCCCACTAGGTTGGTTCTTGTGGGAAACGTTCAATTTCTGCCCAAATACTGAGGTAGCAAGGGCACATTCAAACAGCCAAAAGTGAAAACTTAGAGCCATGGAGACACTGGGTTTTTTTTTACACTGCTAGTCTATAAATCCAAGTTGGGAGTAATTTTTAGGTAAAAGTAGTATGGAACTCTGAAACTCCTAAGATTAAGCTATTTTAATTACTCATACTCTTTGATAGGCAAAGTACTTAACAGAACACAACAGAAGTAAAAGGATTTAATTTCAGTTCAGGAGAACACTTTGACATTCTAGTAACCCAGCTCTGGTAAAAAGTGTCTGTTAGCTGTGGTCTGAGCATTGTAGCTAAGTGGGCATTTCTTACATTCAGACACATATACTCAAATTGACCCTAGTGCATGTTCCCCATAAGACAGAACATTGTAAACAGAAAGCATACACTTTCTGTTTGGTTAGTTGGTTTTTTGAGACAGGTTCTCACCATGTAGCCCAGGCTGGCCTCAAAGTGATCCTTCTGCCTCAGCCTCCCATGTGATAGGATTACAGGGATGTGCCAGCATACCTGGCTTGAAAACACACACACTTTAATCTTGGGCTGCCTCCTACAGTAATAATATTAAGGGGAAGGGTCTGCATTGACTGTCGGCACAAAAAGTGGTAGGTCCATCACCAAAGTGGAAGTGAATTCAGGATAGACTGTTTTGGAAATCTGAGTAGTAGCCACAAACAAAATTCATATATTTGCGTGATACAAGATTATGTGATGGCCTTCCTTGGGCAACTAAAGATTCTCTGCCAACCCCCTTCACCATGGCAAATTCCCCCAAGGGGACTGAGGACCAGCGATGCAGATGGAAGAGCAATGGAAGGGTGGGGAACCAATCTTGCCTGTAATTCTTTTCATAGGAGAAAGAGATGGAGAAGCAGAAAACTCTGTATCAGCAAGCTCGGCTGCATGAGCGCGGGGCTGCAGAGATGGTCCTTCAGATGATAAGTGCCAGCAAAGGTGAGCCCCCCACTTTGGGATGGTCCGTGTAACTGCCACAGAGACATCACGCCATGAGGGAGAGCCATTGTTTGCCCAGCAGGCATGATCTGCCATCATCTCCTTGGTGACTCATCACATCCTCACCCCGGCAGGTGAGATGAGCGCTATGGTGGTGGAGACGCTGAAGCTGGGAATTGCCATTCTGAATGGAGGCAACACTGGTGTGCAGCAGGTGATCGGGGCTTCAGGGAGGCTGTGCAGGGGTCCCGGGTTCTCCCATTTGACAACTGTCAAGCTTCAGGGGAGAGGTGCTGACTGCCACTGAGGGGGCCACCCACAAGCACAGGCTAGTGTTTGTCCCTAGTGGCCAATTATGTCAGAGGAGCTGGGAACACAGATAAAACCAGGCTGGGAGTCTACAGGCAAATATGCATTTAATAAAGAGGTTTTACCCAGGGATAAAAGAGAAAAACATTTCATATCTATGTGATTTTTCTGTAGAAATATATATACTCTGGGGGAATAAGTTTTTTATTTCAGCCCTTTCACTTATGAGCTGCCTTGCTGTAAAAGGGATGATAACCCCACACTCTTGCTATTTATTCACTCATTCCTTTATTAATTCTTTGAACAATTAATTATCCACTGACTGCTGACCGTGCCAGGCTCCATTGTGCCTGACACATGGTATTAAACTTTTGATATCTGAATTGTAACTGGTTGCAGAAGACAGGAATGCCCCAGTGTCTGCCGGCACCCCAGGCCGTAGCTAAAATCATCTGTATGCACAGGAAAGCAATGTTTCTGACATTTGGCATTTATCAAGTTACATCCCAGATCTCCAAATTCATAGCTGCCATGTTAGGTATGGTTTCCCAGCTGTTAACTCTTCCCAAACAAGTTTCTCATTAAAAACTGATGTTTTCTTAGTCATGTACTTTCTGTTCTCTTCTGCCACCACCTCTTAGTTGAGTGAGTCAGGTTGTACTCAGCAACATTGTATCACCCTGTCCTCTCCTGGGGTGAATCCTAAACAGTAAAGCCACAAACATCCAAGGTCTGCTACACTGCCATGGCAGAAACTCTAGTGAGCTTTTATAAAATAATCGTGCTCCACCCTAGAGACCGACTCCTTAAGTAAGGGGTGTGCTCACATGCATTGCCTCTCTCTAAGGGATGTTTAGCCCTTGGTCTGACTCCGTGTGCCTCTGTGACTGGGTATTTGCCATTTCTCCCTCAGAATTAGGTGGACGTGCGGTATGTATAGTTTTCAGTGTTTTTCTTCTTTAAAATGTATCTCCCTTACAGAAAATGCTAGATTACTTAAAGGAGAAAAAAGATGCTGGATTCTTTCAAAGCCTTTCTGGTCTCATGCAGTCTTGCAGGTAAATATGGGGAAAACACTCAGCTTTCTTTTTTTTTTTTTTTTCATGAAAACTGTTTGTTATTCAAGAGAAAAGAGGGGAAGTAAAAGAAGGTGCATGAAGGTAACTGGCTTCTTGTGGAATCACTGAGAGCCCTCAGGAGTCACCTACCACGGAGAGCAGAAGGACAGCTTTGCTCCTCAGCCATAAGCCTTGCACTCCACTTCACCAGCACACACCCCACCACCCAGACGCCCCACCATCCAGTCACCTTCATTGCCTCCTTTTCAGTTAGGTTTTTTTATTAGGAGGCTCCATGTGTACTTTGAGTTTCATGAAAGTCAAACCAAAAAAGAACAGAAAAGAGGGGGTCCTCACTATAACTGAAGGCCGTGTTTCCACCAGACCCATCAAATACTTTGTTCGTCTTTTCCCTAACGATTCTTTGAGCTCTAAAAGGTGGGTACGTATTTTGACACTTTCATTTTGATGGAGGTACATCTTGGAATGGGAACATTTTGACACAGACTATAAAACAAAGTATTGAACTTTTTATCACCCACTTGTGTTAGCTACCCTTCATGGTTGAAACCTCTGACAAAGAATGCTATAACCAAAAGTAATAAGATCACCATACTTGCTCATTATAAAAATGAGCTAGCAGTTTTTGTAAGAGCCAGATTATTCTCTGCAAGTCATACCTATTTTGAATGGTGTGACACTCATCATAAAAGAAATCAAAGCTACAACTATTTCATTTATTGGCCTCCAAGTAAACAGATTTAAAATGGAACATAAAGTTCTCTACTTGACCATTTCAAAGATCACTTCTTTCCATTGACTTCAATCTTACTTGCCCAGAGTACTAAGGAGCAAGTTTGAGCCGCAGTGTGACCCTTTTTCCTCAGCTTCATCTTTTTTTTCCACTAACAGTCTGTTAGCTTATTCTGTCTCTCAGTAAAGGACGATGGATATTGCAGACCTGGCTTGCAGTGGGTAGAAAGGTATGAGTGGACTCAGAGGTGCAAAATCCAGGCCTTTCATTGCTGCATTGCTCATGAAATTCTCTGTTGAATCTCCAAGTGTTCTCTCAGTGTTCTGAAGCACTTATTGTTGCTAAATTTGTTTATGATTTTCTTATAACGATGGCGCAGAGGGACAGGTGAAATACACCTCGCTGCCTTGTGAGTTACAAAAGTAATACATGTTTGTAAAATATTCAAGCAGTGGGAAAATTAAAACATAACATCGGTGTTTAGGGATTGGAGTAGGGATCAGAAATGCGTCACGTGCAGTCAGAATCAAAATTGCTGCTTCAAAACAACGAAGTCCAAATGCCCTTTCCATGCTGTCCTGCCCTGACAGCAAAACCAAAATAGAAGGGTATGTGCTATTGGGCCCTTTTTACAACAGAATCTAGGGGAAAACAACAAAGATAACAATAGAAATGTCACTATTTTCTCTTAAAAAAAAAAAAAAACTCACCTGAATTATCAAACAATGTGACTTCCTAAGAAGAAAGGAGTTCCAGTGACTTTGCATCTAACAGTCATGTCCTCTGCACACTGTGAAAGGAAGGCTAGCGTCTACAGCTTTAATGGACCAACTCTATACTTTCCTAAGAGTTATGGTGTTTGTTTGTTTGAGATAGGGTCTCTCTGTGTAGCCCTACAGACTTTAGGCTGGCCCTAAAGTCATGATCATCCTGCCTCTGCTGAGTGAGTGCTGGGATTATAGCAATGTATCACTGTGCCCAGCTATATTCTTATGAGACCTTATGTTCTATGAAATTTCTCAGAGTAGGGGAAGAATTAGACTCTGTTAGCAAATGGAAGGAGCCCTAGTTGGAAGTAGCCAATCTTAGTGATTGTACTAAAACTTCCTGGCTAAATAAAATTTGGCTGTGGCTATGACCAGGAAGATAGAAGGAAGTGGGGTCAAAAATGAAGGCCAGCTTGTCACAAGTTCAAGGATATCTAGGGACGCCACTCCTCAGAACCCTTAATCTTGATTGCTATTGACTCCTAAACAATGCAGGAATCAAAACAGGTGTGGCCTTTAAAATCTGGACATCCATACTCTCCCCATGTGATCCTCTGAGAAAGTAGCTAAGGTGGAGGTGAGTATAGATTAGTACAGTGTAAACTTTCTCTTGAGAAAGCTTAGAAACAGACTAGCCCTTCTTTACTTGGGAAGCCTTTCTAAATATCCATCCCTTAGAAAGGACTCAGACTGGACAAATAGTGACTCCACCTCCTGAGTGCTGGGGTTACAAGTGTGTGCCACCAGACCCTGCTAGTTATACTGTCTCTTAAACGAGACTGCTGGACACAAAGCCAAGGAACTGTGGAGGCTTTCAACAACGCTGTTGTGTGTTAGTCCTTTTATGATAACAAAGGGAAGCATCTTTTTAACCAACAGATATGTTGGCATTAGAAATTCACTTTCCTGGTATGCACAACCCTGAACCTTGTTTTCTTTTGTCTATTAAAAGTGTCCTTGATTTGAATGCATTTGAGAGACAGAATAAAGCAGCAGGCCTGGGCATGGTTACTGAAGAAGGAACACGTGAGTACCAGTGCCACGGTCCCTTCCTGAGTGAAGTCTTAATTAACCCTTGCTGGTCAGAGCTCACACTTGCTGCTTCCCAATCTAAAAGACGTGCACTCCTTCTGAGCAAAACATGTCCAGCAACAGCGCGGGTAAAGCAAGCATGTTCACAGAGCCAGTTTTAACTGAACACCAGAAACTGTTGTGTTTGTTTTTCTTACTTTGTATTCTTCCTTTTTTCTCCTATCACCAGTCATTGTTCGTGAGCGTGGTAAGTTTGTTTCTGGCCTGAGTTTCCACTGTGTGTGTGAATCCTGAGAGACTGGATTTAATTCCCCACTTAGAGGTTTGGCGATTGCATGTTGAGTTTAGCTCAGCAGTTTGATGCTTAGTTGAAGAAGTATCTCACATCTATAAAGCCTGGGTTATGGACTGTGCACTGTTTGCTGCCACTGTCCTAGCTGTTCTCACTACAGTTGCATCTGGGGCTAAATAATTGACCTGTTGGACTCTGTGCTCTGGAGCTTTGGCTGTAGATTATTAGGGTTTATCACACTCACCCCAAGTTCCATTTCCAAACCATTTGGACACAATTCCTTAGTCGTTGCTTTGAGGGGTTCCACGTTGAGAAAGCAGACAAATGCTCACAGATGTGTTTACACTTTCAAGGTGAAAAAGTGCTGCAGAGCGACGAGTTCACACGAGACCTTTTTAGATTCCTCCAGCTGCTTTGCGAAGGCCATAACAGTGGTAAGCGGAACAGGTTACAGCATCAGGGAAAACAGCGCTCAGGTGTACGATGACCATTCATTTCAGGATGCCCATTTGATACAGTTGGTTGCTAACCCAAAGACATCAGCTAATCCATTCCTCAATAAGAAATACTTCATGAAGTGACCTACAGCAAGGCTAATGTTACTTAGTGGCACCAAGGGAAACTGCCCCCAAGGCCTCCACCCTTTCCATGTAGCTCCTTGGGGCTCATTAAGTCCCATTTTGGAAGTCACCAGTTTGGGAGGGCTCAGAGCAGACCCCAACTGGGGTGGCTGTGCAGGACTTTTCAGGGTATGCCGCTTCTGAACTCAGCTAAGAGCGCAGGCCTGGCTCTGACCTAACATTGCTGCTCTCAGACTTCCAGAACTTCCTGCGGACTCAGATGGGCAACACCACCACGGTGAATATCATCATCAGCACAGTGGACTACCTTCTGCGTCTGCAGGTGAGTAGGCAGGCTGAGCAATGGCACCGCCCATCTGTCTGCGTAAGAGTTAAGACAGGCTGTCCTTTAGCTCACAGTGGGGTCATGTCCTGATAAACTCATTGTAAGCTGAGGACACACCTAGCCCACTGAGCCTCACAGCTTAGCAACACAGTGTGTCGCGCCGACTCAGTGTTTACCCTCCTGACTCCATCATGTATGGACAGCCCACAGAAGACTGATTTTCAGAATTCCTAGTACAATTTCAACTGAATGCGTACTACTTTCACACCATTTTAAGTGAGAACACTGTAAGTTGAATCCTCCTAAATCAGGGCTGTCTGTACAAGTCAAGCCCCAGTAAGGAAGATATAATTGATGGCCACACACTTACGGGAAGTCAAATACCTAAAGCATGTGTTTAAAGACAAAATCAAGGGATGAACTAGATTCCAAACCGTCTGTTATAAATGTGGGTCACTTTAGCTTTGCTGGTGGAGACCTAGCCATGGTGCCCAAGAGCACTGGGGAAAGAACTTTACTAGGTGATGGGAAGATTTTCAAGTTGTAGAAGGCGGCTCTGGGTTTAATTGTTTGAATGAAAGTGTGAAAGTCCAAAGACGATTCTCTTTGCTGGTTCCTCATCCTGGCTTGGCCACTGACTGGGAGCCGGAGCCACCTGTTTAGCTTTCCTTCTGGTTTTCTCATTTGTAAGGTGGGTAGGACCTGCCGCATAGCATGATAGTAAGGACTGAGAGATTTGATCTATGCAAAGTGCTCGGAACAGTGTCTGGCACTTAAAATGAGAACTATCATCTCAGTGCTATCATTACGGACTATTCAGATGACATCATTATTATCTTCAGTCACATTTGTCACTTTTAAACATTTGTCCTAGATCATGGTCTCTCAGGCACTGAACGTTGCTCCCTCTTCTGCTGTTCTTCCCTGTAGAGAAACATCTGTGCTTAGAAGACACAGGGTAGCAACAACCTCTGCCCTTCTCAGAGTCCCAAGCTCCTGTCACAGCAGAGGTCACAGAGATGTAGCCTTCCCTTCCAGCACAGACTGGTGTCAGAAAGCACTAAACTCTATGTGTTTGCTTTCAGGAATCAATCAGTGATTTCTACTGGTACTACTCAGGAAAGGACGTCATTGACGAGTCAGGACAGCACAATTTTTCTAAAGCCCTGGCAGTCACTAAGCAGATTTTCAATTCTCTTACGGAATACATACAGGTATGCACCTGAACACAAAGCATCTTCAACACTCCCATTTTCTGAATCCCCTAGAGTGTCTGGAGCACACAGCGAGCAGCACATTCAGCCTTGACACCAACAACATTTCCTATCTAGAAATAAGAACCAACAATACCTCACTCTAGTCTGTGGTCCCACACCAGGACCTATTTGTGATGGTGTCACACTTTATTTGCATTTACCTAGTTACATTTTACTTTCCCCCCAGACTGAAAACTTGTCATGGACAAAAGAATTCTTACTCAACTTAAAACTCTTCATGTCAGAACAGTGTCTGACATATTGATTTCCTGATACTCAGTGACCATGGAGAGTGAAGTGGAGAAATTAATGGTGGAACAAAGGGATAGATAATGTTGTCTTAAGCAGAGTTTAAAAATGGAGCCATGCCAGGTTGGATGGCACTCGTCTGTAATCCCAGCACTCAGGAGGCTGAGGCAGGAAGAAGGCAAGTTTGAGACCAGCCTGGGCCACATAGTGAGACTCTGTCTCAAAAAAAATCCAGGTGTGGCTGGTCATGCCTGTACTCCCGGAGGCAGAGATCAGAAGGATTGCAGTCTAATGCCAGCCAGGCAAAATGTTAGCAAGACCTCATCTCAATCAATAAACCGCTAATGGTACATGCCTGTTATTTCAGCTATGCAGGAGGCCTAAGTCCAGGCTGACCGGGGAAAAGAACACAAGATTCTACCTGAAAAAAAGTAAAAGGGGCTGGGGCATGGCTCAGATGGTAGAGCGCCTGCCTAGTGAGCACAGGCCCTGAGTTCAAACCCAGTACCACACACACACACACACACACACACACACACACACACACACACACACAAAGCAAGTAAGCTGTGTGCACTGGTGGCCAAATTTATGGGTGAACTTCAGGGTAACTCTAGATACTTCAGTACTCTTCCTCTGGTCATTGCCTAAGAGGTCCACCTGCTGTGAGAGGAGTAGAGGATGTAGTCAGGCCAGCTTGCTGTGAAACCAGTTGCCATAGCTAGCTTCTGCAACACAAGATTTGTTAAAGCAGAATTAACACTCCATCTTTATATTATCATAACCAGGAGACTCAAAAATAAGATCTTCCTTCACTTATTCAACAAAACACTTAGCTCCTGCTCTACACTGTGGTTAATGAAAAAAGTCTAATATGTTTTCTCTGCCCTTAAAAGAGCTTATAATGTGATTAAGAAGATACATATATGCGAGGAAAATTATTTGATGCAAGATTATCATACATGATTTTAAGAAATCGTGTATGCTGTGCACCAAGAACCACTCATGCTGGCTGGGGATGTGGCTCAGTGGCAGAGCTCTTTCCAAGTGTGCGCAATGCCCTGGATTCCATCCCCAGCATCAGCAGGCTAAGACAGGAGGATTGTGATTTTGAGGCTACGTAGAGAGACCCTCTCTCAAAAATCAAAATCAAAATAAAACCATGTGTGTGAGCCCAGGAAGAGAATGTCGTTCTGAGCCCCAGGGCTGCGTCTCCAGCAGACACATGAGCTGTGGATGATACAGAGGAAGAGGAGGAAGTGTGTATTGGGTCAGTTTCTTAGAAAAGCCACAGAGTGGACTGTGCATGGCTTCATGAGGGGTGCCTCAACAATTGCATCAACCTCACAGAACAGGCAGGAATAAGAACACCTCATCCCCTTGCTTGTATACCTTCATATCCCTCCCAAAGAACCTTCTATAAACCAAGAGTCTAAGGGTTTTCACTGGCTCTTTTTACAGGTTATGTTGAAGCTAAAATCTGTTCTGTGAAAAACATGAGCTTTTCATTGAATAAATATCCATGTGGTAAACGACTGGCCCACTGGTTCATATTTACTCATTAGAATGAGCACACAAGTAAGACTCCCCTTGAGACACAGGGTTTTAATGGCGATTAACTTGTCACTCAATTACTACATGGAAAGAGAGAAGCCTAGAAGCAGGGGACTGACCTGAAGTTACAGAAACTGCCATGCCAAAAGAGGCCATTCATTGTGTCTGATGGGCTTCTGATTTCATCTGGCAGAACCCATCCTAATCTTCACAGTTTTCCCTGGAGCATTTAACCCAAAAAGAAAAACTCATTTTTTTGTGAATGTAAATTTTTTTTCTACAAGTTTTGTTCCAAAGTAAGTAAGTCTGTTGGCGTGTAGGGATGGGGAGCTGGATGTGTGTAAGCAGTGATTTTTAACAAGTGTACGGGGTCAGGGATGCAAGAAATAGTTCTGCTTCTCACTTCTTCCTTGGGAGTCCTGTCAAGACTCTTCTAAAACTTGAGGTAGTACCTGTGTCCTTTGCAGGCCTTTCTTATTGAAAAGTGATTTGGAAATTGGTTGAAGGATAGAAAAAAAGAAAGACTATAAGGAAGAGTTAAGAAGGACTGGGTTCAGTCAGTGATCTTCAAAACCAGTAAGGTTATTAACAAGGAAAACACAAACTGGTAATTAAGTCATCCCTGTCCTTGGCTTTGGAAAAAATATTTAAGAGATGGTGCTGGCCTATAGTCCCCACACTGGGGAGGCTGAGTCATGAGGATTGTGAGTTTGAGGCCAGCCTGGGCTACATTGTGAGAACCTGTCCCAGGAAAAAAAGGACAGAGCGAAATGGTGTTATAGCTGAAATTTAGATTAATAGTAAAATCCTAGAAGTGGATGAACACTAGGATTATTACACAGATTTTTTTAAACTCGGCTATAGTCAGGCATTTCTGGTAGCTCTGTTGGAAGACAGAAGGTGGGTAAGGCCTGGCTTCCAAATGTGAGCACAGCACCCTTGGAGTTGTCAGATGGCCTCTTGGGAAGGGGTGGGTCCATCCTCTAGCCCAGCTTCAGCGCAGCACTGAGCCATTTAAATATTGCTCTGAGACTTTATTTGAAGAGTGCATTCTGAAACAAAAAGAAAATCTCTGACGACCACTGGACTGTGAATGCCCTAGTTTTTCCCTAGACATAGTGTACTGTGACTGGGAAAAGGAAAAAGCATTATCTTGGGAAACGCGTGCATTCTGGAAGGCGCTACCTGCCTATCACTTGGCTGTCTGGTGTCATCGCTGGCATGGTTGTGTCACAGAGGACTCAGGTGTGTCACAGAGGACTCAGGTGTGTCACAGAGGAGTCAGGTGTGTCACAGAGGACTCAGGTGTGTCACAGAGGAGTCAGGTGTGTCACAGAGGACTCAGGTGTGTCACAGAGGACTCAGGTGTGTCACAGAGGAGTCAGATGTGTCACAGAGGACTCAGGTGTGTCACAGAGGAGTCAGATGTGTCACAGAGGACTCAGGTGTGTCACAGAGGACTCAGGTGTCCCCCCTCTACAGGGCCCCTGCGTTGGGAACCAGCAGAGCCTGGCCCACAGCAGGCTGTGGGATGCCGTGGCCGGCTTTCTCCATGTGCTTGCCAACATGCAGCTGAAGCTCTCTCAGGTACTGTGGCCTGCCCCTCACGCGACCCGTCCCTGCCAAGTGCTGCCTTCACCCTCCCACCTGGCTTCCCCTTGTGCACATGGCTGCTTCATCAGGGGCTGGAGAAGTCATGCAGTTTTAAACTGAGCACCCAAATGGGCAACAGGCATGAGTGCCTCCAGAGGGGTCCCAGATGGGCTCTTGCATGGACGTGGCTTCCTTGTGTCCCAACAACCTACTCTTTTTACAACTGCCTCAACACATGCCGCCCACGTGCTCTCCCTCTTTGCTCCTCTATCATTGTCTTGTCACTTTGGGATCTCCACCAGCCCTGCCTGCTCTGTCCAGCACTGCATGTTTCTGTAATCCACAGTCTCACCTTGGCCTCTCCTCCTCCCTCCCCATCACTCTGGCTAGATGAATCGGAATTGCTCAGAATATTTATTATGAACCAGTAAATGTGGCATGTGTAGTGGTCGATTGTCTGTCTCCATGGCAACATGAGGAAGAACTTCAGGATGTGTTTCAGGCTGATTAGAGTAACATTTGCAGCATTAATTTAAATAATGTGTATCTAAAAATTTCAAGGCTGTCACATCTGCCTCCTCTCTTCTGGAATGTGCTATTTAACCCTTTCACTTTTCCCCTTTTGACTCTGGCCTTACAAGAAGAGAGAGTTCTTGGTGGTGGTGGGGAGGGTGGCTACTAATCTGGCAGTAATACGTCCACATCTAGGTCAACCAGGGCAGCGTGTGCCAAGGCTCCAGAGACAAGAGCTGGAGCCTGCCACCTCCTCACCAGTGACTTTTGGAAGTTACTTCCCCTTTCTGGTTTCATCATCTATGAGATCTTCTGAGTTAGAATGGATACTCTGAGGTCTCTCCTCAGCTATGACATTCTACACTTCCATGGTAGTTTCAAGGTAGCTATGACACACACCATAGGTAGGGGGCGTTTCCCCTGAAATTTGAAGGTCTAGGCAAAGAGCTATGTCTTTTTGAAAGACATATAAACGAGGTGTGACCCAGAAAGAACTTTCTAATTTCACCCTCAGATTGCTGTTTCCAAGGTCATTTCCTAATTTTAATTTCACTCTCAGATCAGATCTTCTAAGCCTCATTTCCTCCTTTGATCAAGGGTATAAATATAAAGCACGGAGCTAATTTAGCATTGCTCTGCCTACATCACTAAAATTAAAACCAAACAGACTGGTATCAAAACTATCCAGAGGAGTAGCCTCAGTTACATATCATTTCAGGAGCCCATGGCACCTAGATCACCACCAGCTAGAATCAGAATTAATCCAGAAAGAAAGGAGAACCTACTTTGTGATTGAGACCTTGTTACCTTAGTCCGATTATAGCAACAACCCCCATGAGGCTCACTGACGACGTAAGCTGCCAGAGATTCCTAAAGGCTCTTTGGCTTTGGACAAGAGTTGGTGCACTTGCCACAGTGCACAGATGAAAGGGAGGAAGGAAAGGAGCTCTGCTGGACGAGTCCTGCTACACTGCGGCTCCCCACGCTGCCGACAGTGGCTGTACGACATCCTCATTCACAGTGAGAAGGGAGCTCGTTGCTACATTGCCACAGCCTCCACCTAACCTTTCCAGAGCAGGCCCTTCTTGCTCGCTGCCCTGCCCTCTGCCAAGGGACCAGATAGCTCAGGGGTATCTCCTGTTTCTGTTCTAGGATTCCAGTCAGATCGAGCTGCTGAAGGAACTCTTGGATCTCCTTCAGGACATGGTGGTGATGCTTCTGTCCCTCCTGGAAGGTTGGGCTGTTTGGTATAAGTAGGCATTCACTCAACTGTAATCGGTCTGAGCGCTGACCTTTCCAATACACAGATTATCCTCCTGGCAGGTCACTGATGCCATGTGACATTGGTTAGAATGCCAAATTTTCAGAAAGAAAAAAAATGAGTGAGGGGCACATGGTCTGATGGACAAAGCCTGGAACCAACTCATTTATACCAATAGGAAAGCCAGAATGAACTGGGGAAAATCTCCAAGCTTTGCTCTTCTCTATCCTCTCCTTCTCCCCATTGCTTTTCAATACATCTGGCTGCCAGTGTGTATGCCAACCATTTAGTTGGGCACCCTCCTACGTTTAAAGGGATAAGAGGGACATCATGTATCTCCATGTGTCCCCAGTGATCTGATAGTGAAACCATCCTCTTGGGCCCCGGGTCAGAAATAAGACTGTGGTGTGGCCCTCCACTTCCTCCCTTGTTCCTTTTTCCCTTGGCTCCTAGAGGCACAGTCTTTATGGCCTGCCTCCCCCCCACCTCCCATTTCCAAGTCATTATGGTCAGAAAAGAGCTGACTTAGCACAACGTCTTCTAAAATAGACTACATGACCAGCTATGGGACTGTATGGGTTTATTTATCTGTCTGTTTTTTTGAACCTGCCTCACAGGAAATGTGGTAAATGGAACAATTGGCAAGCAGATGGTGGATACACTAGTAGAGTCGTCTACCAATGTAGAAATGATCTTGAAATTCTTTGACATGTTCTTGAAACTTAAAGACCTAACCAGCTCAGACACCTTCAAAGACTATGACCCAGATGGTAAAGGGATTATCTCCAAAAAAGAATTCCAGAAGGCCATGGAAGGGCAGAAGCAGTACACACAGTCAGAGGTTGACTTTCTCCTCTCGTGTGCAGAGGCTGATGAGAATGACATGTTTAATTACATTGATTTTGTAGACCGGTTCCATGAGCCTGCCAAGGACATAGGGTTTAATGTGGCAGTGTTACTGACGAATCTGTCTGAACACATGCCAAATGATTCCCGCCTGAAGTGTCTATTGGACCCTGCAGAAAGTGTGCTGAATTACTTTGAACCATACCTCGGACGAATTGAGATCATGGGCGGTGCCAAGAAAATCGAGCGTGTTTATTTTGAGATCAGCGAATCCAGTCGAACTCAGTGGGAGAAGCCCCAAGTGAAGGAATCGAAACGACAGTTCATTTTTGATGTTGTCAATGAAGGTGGAGAGCAAGAAAAGATGGAACTCTTTGTGAACTTTTGTGAGGACACGATCTTCGAAATGCAGTTAGCATCACAGATCTCTGAATCCGATTCAGCTGACAGGCCGGAGGAGGAGCAGGAGGAGGATGAAGACACTTCCTATGAGCTAGAAACTGAGGGGGACGAGCCGGAAGACAAGTCTTTTGAGTCTGCCTCCGCCTTTGCCATGGCCTGTGCCGCAGCAAAGAGGAAAGTTGCCAACTTTCTGAGGAGGGCAACCCTGAAGAACCTCAGGAAGCAGTACAGGAACGTGAAGAAAATGGCAGCAAAGGAGCTGGTGAAGGTGTTCTTCTCTTTCTTCTGGACACTGTTCCTGGGCCTGTTCCAGTTGCTCTTCACCATATTGGGAGGAGTCGTTCAGATCCTCTGGAGCACAGTGTTCGGAGGGGGCCTTGTGGAAGGGGCAAAGAACATCAGAGTGACCAAGATCCTGGGTGACATGCCTGACCCAACCCAATTTGGGATCCACGAAGATGCCATGGATGCTGAGAGGACAGAAGGAACAGAGCCGGGGATCACTGTGGAGCTGGGTTACTTCACAAAGGGGGAAAAGGGAGAAACAGACATCATGTCAGACCTCTTTGGACTCCACTCAAAGGAAGGTGTCTTAAAGCATGGGCCTGAAGTGGGTTTGGGTGACCTGTCTGATATTGTTGGCAAGGATGAGCCCTCTACATTAGAGAGCACTGTACAGAAGAAGAGGAAAGCCCAGGTAAGCATGACTCGTGGCTGTTATCCATGTCCCTAGAATAAGACTCATTACCATGTCTGCAAGCAGTACAGATGCGTTTGCCCAAGAACCAACATTGTATAAACACTGGCTCTGCTGTGATAATGCTGATTTTATCATTCTGGCTCTGCTAGAAACCGAGCCTTAGATGGCTGTCCAGTGCATAGTCACTGGGCAGGGGAGTGGGCAGATTCCTCCAGTTTTTATATTGTAGAGTTCAAACATGGTGGTCTGTGACCTTTATTTGCTTCAGACTTTCATTGAAAGGTGAGTTCTCATGGTGCACAGGTTCATTTGGTGAACTGAAGTCTCAAAAACTAGGTATAATGCAAGAGGAAATGTCTCTCCAGAGACAGGACTTCTGCAGTGCTCTCAAAGGTCCAGATGATGCTACATGATTCAGTGTAGCCTCCCAGCAAGTCTAAGTGTGTGGACCATGATTGTGGGATGCTGAGCATTCAATTGGCACTTTGAGTCAGTCAACTAGCTTAAGAAGATACAGTAATTCAGAGCCCATTGGCCATGCTTGGGAGGCTATGGGTGTCTCCCACTCTTGTAGCATCAAGCTCACAGTGTCATTCTTACATCAATAAAAAGCAGAGAAGTGTGAAGAAATCAGAGCCCAGAGACTGCTTTGCTCATTTATTTCATTGTTTAGTAGAGAGTTAATGTGTCCCTGTTTCAGGCTCTGAGAATACAGTGATGGATGAGAAATGTGTTGTCCTGTGGTTTAGTGGAGAAGATAGATATTGGACAAGTCAATGCAAGGAACAAGTTTGCTAGGAAGGAGAAAGGTCTAGAACTGGAAATGTATAGGAGAGAACACTTGCCTGGCGTAGAGTCAGGGAAGAAAGCCTAAGTCACAGGATTTCTTTATATAGCAATTCAATTTTTTCTGCTTTTGCTCCCCATAAAACCCACAGCCTAAAACAGTTTGACAGAATAGAGATTCTGTGCATTGGGCTGTGTTCTAGGACATGGGAATACACAAGTTAACAAGAGACACAACATTTCTGCTTTCATGGAACTTAACCTCCAAGAGGAAAAGAAAACAAGAGAATGAGATAATTGTCATTTGTGATACATGTTAGGCTAAATGATCAAGCTAATGTGTAACACAGTAGGGCAACCAGGAAGCTTCTGTAAAGCTGTGACCTGAGCCTCATCCTGGAGGATGATGAGCACAGGGGACAGGCAGAGGCTGTAGTCAGGGCAAAGGCCCCCAGTGCACAGGAGGATTGTTCCAGAAAAGGAAAGGTCTGAGTGTTTGGATACAGGAAACAGCAGGTCATGTAGTACAGATGAGGATGGAGAGAAGAGCCAGGATCGTGTGGGTGAGAAGGTCACCCACCAGAGGGACTGGGGTAGAGGTGAGAGGATTGGAGGCACAGTGGGAGCCTGTCAGGTAGGGGCAGGTTCTGGGTTCCACCTGGTTTGACCTGTGTCCCATCTCTCTTACCCCAAAGGGCAATAGGACTGCTGTCACAGGGTACTCTCCAGGTCCGAGCCCAGTTTCCTGCTCAAGTGGAGTAAATAATAGAAGGGCAGTTGAGTTTTCCAGTGTGATGTCTCTGTCTTGGTGCCTCTCCAGGGGCACCAAGACACGTGGCAAGACAGCTACATGTTGTGACCCCCAAGAGAAGAGAGAAGGGTTCTGGTACCTGCAATCTGAAGGGAACAGCCAGTCCACGGCTCTTCCTGAGCTCTCTCCCCTAAGGAAGCCTTGACTGAGTGTTGTTTTTATTTAGGCAGCAGAGATGGAGGCAGCACATGGAGCAGAAGGAAAAACGGAATCTGAGAAGGCAGAGTAAGTGCTCGGTAGCATGAACCCTAGTGACTGTCGTAGCGCTAGTTTATTTTGTATTCTTTATGGGCTTTGAACTCAGGGCCTCACATTGGCTAGGCAGATTCTTTACCACTTGAGTGATGCCCTTCTTGTCTTAGGTTTCAGGTAGGGTATCACTTTTTGCCATGTCTGGCCTTGGACCAAGATCCTCTTACCTCTACCTCCTGCATAGCGGGATCACAGGCACCTACTGGTGTACCCAGCTTGTTTGTTCAGATGTCATCTCACTAACTTTTTTTGCCCAGGCTGGCCTTGAACCATGATCCTCCTGATCTCTGCCTTCTGAGTAGCTGGGATTACAGGTGTGAGTCTCTGTCCTGGCCAGTAGGTAGTTTTCCATAGTGTCTACTAGTCTATTGCTGTAGTAAGGAGAAAAACCTGATTTCAAGTAATATAAACAACAGCTATACTGAAAGCCCAAGACATACTTCTTTTCACTTTAGAGTAAGTTCTCTAAGACACTTACTACATTTATCTTATTAACTTTATAATCCCAGTAATCAGTCAGGGCATCACTGTTTAGACGAATGAATTATCAAGCTGTACTTAGCAACTTGGTATCACGTTGATGATGGTAGCATCTATTATTTATTGACTAGCTATCGCATGTCAGGCCTGTGCTAAACTCTTCTACAAAATATCTCATTTAATTCTTGCCACAATCTTAGAAGACTAAGTAGTATTGCTCACTCTCAAGAAGGCTCCTTCTTGAAAAGAAAGGACAACTTTTCTGAAGAGAAAAAAATTCTTAAGTCTAATTTCAGGAGAAAGTTGCGTATCGTCAATGTGTACCTGCGATTATGGAGTGTGGCCACCACTCATGAAACATGAATCTGATGTCCAGCCACCATTAACCAACACATCCATCTTCTGCCCCTCTCAACTCAGATTTCTGACTTAGTCTCTTTCTGGACCTTCCTGACCTCTCTCCTCCCCTACTGAGTGGGTTTCTCATCCATGTAGCATGGAAGACAGAGAAAAGGAGGACGATGTCAAAGAAGAGGGGCAAGTGGAGCCCCTGTGGGCAGCAGGGACAAAGAAGAAGAAGCGGCGGCATGGTCAGAAGGTGGAGAAGCCTGAAGCCTTCATGGCCAATTTCTTTAAAGGGATGGAAGTCTATCAGACCAAGTTGCTGGTAAGGCCCCCTTCTGGGGGAAGTATTGGCCCAGGCAGACTGTTGGTTAGTTATGCTCCTTCCCCTTGCTCATTCCTCCTCTTTTTCTCTTCTCATTTATTTGCCTGTTCCCTTTGTATTGGAGGAAAAGAAAAGGGAGTTAGCCAGAAAACACTGCAGCCCTCCACACCTCTACCATCTGGCTGCTTGCGCAGGGCTACAGGGATGCAGAGGTCTTTTCAGGGCCTGGCTCTCCCATAATTTCCAAATAGACTACTTCCTATAAGGAGTGGTCATGAAAACTCATAGGACTTTATAGCAGGCTTTCCCCTCTGCTGGTGGCACATTTAAGCATTTGGTTCTTTTGAAGATGGGCAGAATTCTTTTGAACATAATTCCAAGCAACTGTTTTAAAAATCATCATTTCTTCTCCTCCCCCCACCCTAAATAAATTGGTGCCTGTGTTAGAAAAGCTAGATGGCCCAAGAGGAGCAGCCATGACAGAGTGGCTCCCTGTGAACTTCTAACCAGAACTTCCGTGAACCGGGTGCTTGCTCTCCCTTCCAGATCTCTTCTACCTCTGCCTGTCCTTTCCTTTTCAGCACTACCTGGCCAGGAATTTCTACAACCTGCGGTTCCTTGCTCTGTTTGTAGCCTTTGCTATCAACTTCATCCTGCTCTTTATAAGGTGATACTTCATTCAGAGGTTATTTGCCAAATATGTTGTATACTATATATAGGAAAACTATAACTATAACAGAACTTATGCTCCCAAATACAGCAAAACTTCTTATCTATGAGATTTCTATGGCACTGACTTCTAAAAAGTATACAGCCAGGGGAAAGATGGGGACAAGCTGACAAGAAAAGTGAATTGCAGAACTACATCAACAGTCGAGGCTCTGGGCTGGGGATGTAGCTCAGAGCTAGAGCACTTGCCTAGCATGTGCAAGGCCCTGGGTTCGAGCTCCAGCACCATAAGAAAACAAAACAAAACAAAACAAAACAGTCGAGGCTCATTTTCATTGTTACTTCACTCAGTCCCCAAGTAAGGACTGAGCATCCACTATGTGCAAGTCCCTATATTAGGAATTATGAGGTATTTCACAATGAATAATAAATGCAGTTCTTTTCTTGAGGAATAAGATAGTTGAGAGTTGTTATAGTTAGCTCATGTCTTAAAACCACTATGAAGGAAGAATTAATGGGAGCAGGAGGAGAGGTACTGGTCACAATAAAGATTTTGAACATGGGCAAGTAGATCTTCATAGGCATGTCATAGTCATTAATGGAATGAATTAAAGAAAGATCCGAGAGTCTTGACACTGTTTGTCACTGGCTTTTCTATGCTTGGGTCTCTCCTTTCCTACTTAAAACCAGCCATCTAGTTTTTATAAAGCACTGACTGTTTTATTCACATCAACCTTCCACTTGACAAACTGTCTTTCTGTTGCCCACAGAAGGAAAATGGAAATCTGTAGCCAGGTATATAGGTTGGTTTTAAACATATAGAGGTTGAGGTGACTCCAGACAGCCCCAGGCAGCTGGAGCTGTAGGACAAAAGCCTCAAAGGTATAGATCTGAGAGTCATCTATGTGGGGGAAGTGGAGGCCATGACAGTAAATGGAATCTCAAACAATGGAGAACACTGTGTGTGCACGCATAAGCCTGTGTGTGCTTATGCTTACACAGGTCCTTGGCTCAGCTGCCCCTCAGTACACACCATTTCAAAGATTACCTGTCATGGCACAATTATAGCATGTAGAATAAAAGGTCCCTGGCTTAAATGTTTTGTTTTCTTTTCAAGAGATAGGTTTTGTCTGTTCTTAATTTTTACTTGCAATTGTTGGAGATACTGGGGGATTCTTAGAAGTAAGTTTCCTAAAAGCCTCATTTATTCAGCAAGTAATGCTGAGCTGACTATATAAAATGTGTGAGGACAGCCCAGTGGCTGATGTTTATGAGTGAGTGTGTGTCTTGGGTCAGGTCACTGAAGAGCCTTTAGAAGAAGAGACAGAGGATGTTGCAAACCTGTGGAACTCCTTTAATGACGAGGACGAGGACGAAGCGATGGTGTTCTTTGTCCTTCAGGAGAGCACTGGGTATATGGCACCCACGCTGCGCGCCCTGGCTGTGGTCCACACCGTCATCTCTCTGGTCTGCGTGGTGGGCTATTACTGCCTGAAGGTAAGCTGCCTGTCACCCTGAGTCCAATCTGACTCCTTGTGAAAGAAGTGCTGCGTTGAAGCTCAGCCAGCCTTTTGTTCTCTAGGACTTTGCCTGCAGGGTAAGGCTCTTGGAACATTAGCACTAGCTTTACTTAGAGCCGCTTAGAGCTGCAGAATCTTGGGCGCCACCCCCAGGCCTTTTAAATCAGTCTACCAGGTGACTTGTATGCACAGCCACATTTGAGGAGTCCCATTCTGACACTGATAGTTGGATTTCATGGCATCTGACTCATCAGGCTAAGTCAGAGGGAAGTTGGTCATAGAGACTCTTCTGATCTTTGAATTGATGTTGGAATTTCTCATTAGGTTGTACCGTTTGAGATGTGAGAAGAAACCTCACTGATTTGTTATTGTGTCAGATATCTATTGCTACGTTATAAACCACCCAAAACTGCAGCTTAAAGCCATCATTTTGTCCCTCAGATTCCCAGGACAGACTGGGTACACTTAGCAGTTCCCCTGACCCATGTGACAAAGCCATGTCTGCAACCACCTGGGAGCTCAGCAGGGTGAGAATGACCAACCAACATGGCACATTCTTCTGCCTGGCACCCTGGAGGAGAGCAGCTGGAGGGCTGGGCTCAGCGGGGGTAGCTGAAGCCTCTCTCTCCCTCTCTCCATGTAGACTCAGGGTGTGTTCCCTTTCCACGTGAGCTCTGACTTCTTGTGTGGATGGCTTAGGTTTTTCCAAGAAGAACACAAAAGTGGGAACTGCTAGTCCTTTGTAAGGCTCAGGCCCAGAGCTAGCACAGTGTTGGTGTCATTTTCCCTGACACTCCTGTTGACTGAAGCAAGTCACCTAAAAGCTCAGATCCATTACTGCATTTGAAGGCCCACAAGGACACGGACACCAGGAGGCTTTGTTCATTTGGGCCATCTTCAGAACTACAACAGTTAGACAGTCTTCGGCCATCATGTGTTTATTCTTACATTTTTTTCTTACTTTTTATCGTTTTTACATTTACTTATATATGTGTATACTTTCTCTTACTTTTTAAAGCAGGAAGTCTCCTTGACTATATACCAAGTCATCTTTCTAGAAAGAGTCAGGAAATTTATTATTACCCTTTGACCCTTTCTTCCCCTAGAGAACTGAGTACAGTAGGTAGTCCAGCTAGCCTGCTAGAGACCTTATGTCCTGGGCCACACCAAAGGCTCCATTCTAACTTTGAAAGCATGGATTCTGGAGCCAGGGTGCCTGGTTACATTCAGCCCTCCCACTTAACCTCCCAGGTGCTCCGTCTCCTCACCTGTAAGGCTGAGTATTGTAACACTTAAGATCTGGGAGATTGAATGAGTTAATTATGTAAAAGTCCTCAGCACACTAGACAGAGTAAGCTGTAGAGCATGTTAGCTGCTCTTCCTGATCTAAAATCCTGGAGTTCAGCTTGTTGGATGCAGTGCAGATAGACTGGTAACCTAGAGAAAACAAAACGGAAATATGATATAGTGAATAAAAATGTAAAGGTTCTACGGACAAGTGTGTGCAACTCCTGGAAGGCTGATGGGAAAACTTGGGAGTCCCAGAGGTCAGCTCTGGTCTACATTGTGGTGTCATTTTAGAGTCCTTTCTAAACACAGAAGACATCAGTCACAGTGGCCTTAGCTCAGCTCCCCATCCCATCTTCCATTAGCCTGTAGCCCTCAACTCCCCAGTGTTGTTTGTTGTTTTAAGGAAAAATCAAGAAGTTGCTTTTTACTAATCATTATTTAAATGTGCCTGTATGGTTTGGAAATAAAGGAGCAATATGGGGTGAGTGCATATAATGAGTTTTGAGAAGAATTACTGAAAGAAAGTTTGGAGACTAATGACCCAGGGATGTTGCCAGGTAACTGTTGTTGTCCCAAGTGGATGGAAAGCCAGGCTGTGTGTGAATTAAGCTTTTTGTTGGCTAGGTGAGCTCTGGCTGTTGGCTTCTCATTTCCTAAGATTTCAGCAATATGCTGACTTCAGTGACTGTACCCTATATTTGAGGTATATTTGTGCTTAGTTGGGATGAGTGAATTTCCCTTTGTGTGTTCTCCTTTGGTGGCAGATCTTTATATCCATGTTACCATATCTAGTCTGAAAGTTTTAATTATGACAGTACCCCTTATCCATAGTTTCAGTTGCAGCCAACTGCAGTCCAAACTATCACATGGAAAATTCCAGAAATAAACTCATAACTTTTAAATTGCATGGTATTCTGAGAAGTGTGATAAAATCTCGTGCCATCCCACTCTGTCTCATCTGGAGCATGGCTCATCCCTCTGTCCAACATGTGCTCGTCCCTCTGTCCAGTGTGTACATACCATGTAGATCACTCATCCATTGGTCTCTTAGTTGCCCTTTCAGTTATCACCTTGACTATCAAGGTATCACAGTGTTTGTGATCAAGTAACTCTTATTTAGTAATGGCCCCAAAGTACAAGATGCGGCATTTTGGATGTACCAAAGAGAAGCTGCATAGTGCTTCCTTTAAGTGAGAAAGTGACAGTTCCCAACTTAATAAGGGAAGAAAAAAAATCATGTGCTGTTTGGTAAGATCCACAATAAGACCAATTCTTCTACTCATGGAATTGTGAAGAAGGAAAAAGAAATGTATACTATTTTTGCTATTAAACCTTGGGCTGCAAAAGTTACTGCCACAATGTAAAATACATGCTTTCATTAAGATGGAAAGTCATTAAATTCCTGCTTGTTTAGCTATGGGAAATAGTATCTATAGGGTTTGTGTCTATCCATGGTTTCAGGCATTGACGGGGATGCCGGTCATCTGCTGAATAAGAGACCAGGGAATAATAGTAGGAAACAAATAAGTGTGTTGCTGCCTGGCCAGAGCTCTTTATAAAAAGAAGAAAAATTTAATTCCAAAGGACCATGTAGAGTCCTCTGAACCCGCTCATTTCATCAGACCTGGTTTCATGAATATTGTGACAATGAAATGACCCGGGCCATTGAAGGGGCACTTTGACATATTCCTGACGCTGACCAGTCGAGTGTAGAATAACCTTATCATCCTTTCTTAGTTTTGGTTCAGCTCTCAGCCTTGGTTCTGCCCTGGGGCGCATCTGAACATGGCCTTCCCACTAGAATGGGTCAAGGAGACTAGCTTATATTGATATCTGCTTTTTAAACAAAACCTTACAGGTGCCCATGTCAGAGGGATGGCATATTAGCCAAAGGAATGAGAAGGGACTTATTTGGTATTGGCCCCACAACTAGGTACCCTGAGGATCCCAGTAAGGTTACTGCCCTGAAGCTAGAATATTAATTTGTGACAAATACCTGGAAGGTGCTTTTTTGTTATTATTCATATGTGCATACAAGGCTTGGGTCATTTCTCCCCCCCTGCCCCCACCCCTTCCCTTACCACCCACTCCGCCCCCTCCCTCTCCCCTCTACCCCCTCAATACCCAGCAGAAACTATTTTGCCCTTATCTCTAATTTTGTTGTAGAGAGAGTATAAGCCTTAATAGGAAGGAACAAGGGTTTTTGCTGGTTGAGATAAGGATAGCTATACAGGGAGTTAACTCACATTAATTTCCTGTGCGTGTGTGTTACCTTCAAGGTTAATTCTTTTTGATCTAACCTTTTCTCTAGTTCCTGGTCCCCTTTTCCTGTTGGCCTCAGTTGCTTTTAAGGTATCTGCTTTAGTTTCTCTGCGTTAAGGGCAACAAATGCTAGCTAATTTTTTAGGTGTCTTACCTATCCTCACCCCCTCCCTTGTGTGCTCTCGCTTTTATCTTGTGATCAAAGTCCAATCCCTTGTTGTGTTTGCCCTTGATCTAATGTCCAATATAGAGGAGAACATATGATTTTTGGTCTTTGGGCCAGGCTAACCTCACTCAGAATGATGTTCTCAAATTCCATCCATTTACCAGCGAATGATACTTTCGTTCTTCTTCATGGCTGCATAATTTCCATTGTTGTATTAGTTACACATTTTCTAATCCAGTTCGTCAGGTGGTGGGGCATCTTGCTGTTTCATACTTGGCTATTGCTGAATAGTGCCTGCAATTAACATGGTTGTGCAGGTTGCCTCTGGAGTCAACCTGTGTTCACAGTCTTTTGGGTATATCCCCAAGAGTGGTATGGCTGGATACATCTGGTAGATTCAATGTCTAGCTTTTTAAGTTAGCTCCAATTTTGTTCCAGAGTGGTTGTACTAGTTTACATTCCCACCGAAACAGTGTAAGAGGGTTCCTTTTTCCCCACATCCTCGCCCAAGCACTGTTTTGTTGGTGTTGCTGATGCATGGCTATTCTACAGGGGTGAGGTGGAGATCGTAGTGTTGGTTTTAATTTGCATTTCCTTTAATTGCCTAGAGATGCGTGAGCATTTTTTCATGTTTTTTTGGCCATTTGAATTTTCTTCTTTTGAGAAAGTTTCTGTTTTAAGTTCACGTTGCCCATTCTTTATTGGTTCATTCAGTTTGGAAGAATTTAGTTTGTTAAGTTCCCTATATATTCTGGTTATTCAAAGTCCTTTGTCTTGATGTATAGCTGGGGCCAAATCATTTTCTCCCACTCTAGTGGGTGGTCTCTTCAGTTTAGAGACCATTTCTTTTTGATGAACAGAGCTTTTTAGCTTATGATGGTCCCATTTATCTTAAGTTGGCTTGTGCTGCTGAGGTTTCGTTGAGAAATTCTTACCGTATACTGCTAATCCAGAGTATTCCTACTTCTTACCTGTATCAACTTTAGAGGTTTGGTGGTCTGATATTAAGATCCTTGATCCATTTTGAGTTAATCTTGGTATAGGGTGATATACATGGATCTAAGTTTCAGTTTTTGCAGACTGCTAACCAGTTTTCCCAGCAGTTTTTTGTTGAAGAGGCTGCTATTTCTCCATCGTATATTTTTAGCTCTTTGTCAAAGAAAGTTGCTCCATAGTTGTGTGGCTTCATATCTGGGTCCTCCTATTCTGTTCCACTGGTCTTCATGTCTGTTTTTGTGCCAGACCATGCTGTTTTTATT